AACATGGCGGCAGTGGCAACAGTACTACAGCGAGAATAAAAGTTACGCCTTCTTTCTTTGCCTGAACATTTGGGCGGCGTTATGCAAATCTTCCCACATCATGACGCAGACGTGGGGGCGTGTTAGAACGAGCCGTTTTAGGTAGGCGTGGTTGACTCTGAACTTTTATAAAGAATATCTCTTTGGATTTGAGACTTTAGTCTTTGCAACTTTACAGATCTTCTTTATGCAACAAGAGCTCGTAACACTCCAAAGAGAAAGGAAAAATTGAAATCGCATCATATGACCCCTTTAATCCAGAGAAACATACAGAATATCAACAACCAGGAGAACAAGACCAGGGGCCCGTTCTTCGTACGTCGCTTATTACATCCGAGATGATTTGAAAGATTCCAGATCTTTTAATCCTGATAACTGATCTCTGGCTAATGTGGTTCTTCAAACAAATTTGCGTATTAGATTAAAATATCTGGATTAAATTGTCTAGGATTACTGCGCGTTCTCGTGTTCCTCGAAAAGGGCAGATGTATCGATACTCGAAACCACGATCAGCAATTGGCTGGCAGCAAGAGAGCAACCTAATGACATCCTATCATTAAAAAAAGACACCTAACGAAAAACTTGACAAATTTCTGAACCTTTATAAGGAAACAGCCAAGCGAACAAAACTACATGAATGGTATAATAGAAAAATTAAATGTGCACCGTTTTTATTTTATTTTTTTTTTACATGATTCCCAATTATTTATATTCATCCTTTCTAGTATTTGTAAAGGCTTTACATTTTTATTTCAATGTAGTAATTAACAATTCATTTAATTTTATATTTGAACAGATTTGTTACGTGACAGCATTAATTAAAGTTTCTTAAGGGTCAAGATCATTATCTGCATCTCCTGCGCTCCATCAAGCAACTTGATAGCTTAATAGCTGTCAGCACTCAAATTAATGCTATATTATCTGTATAGCATGTGTGTAAGACTCCAATACAATTATGAAGTGATTATTTTATGATGAATAAATCTTTCAGTGAGTAAAACTGGCTGTGTCTATAGTATTGAAGACTACACAACATTATCATATTATCTTTAAATTAATTTTTAAATGATTATTATTTTAAATTATTGACCCTGGATTAGTAGGGTACTCTTGTAATAAAGTCGCAGTGGTAGCGGAGAGATTTAAAGTATCAATTCTGCTTAAAAAGATGCCATCTAATCCTGTTTACATGAAATAAGCCTGTTCCCGAGCAGGTTTAAGTTTACGGACCTGTTGCTATGACAGCAACTCCGGGATAAGCTTCGAAGAACCAAACAATCCAAGATCACGCCAAATCATCAGCAATCAAATCCAGCTAACTGAGTTAATGACGTACGAAGAACGGGCCCCAGAACCAGGATAAAAGTCTAGAACTGACGCATACAAGACTTGAACCAGGCTTATAGGGTGAGCAGGCAGGGTTAAGGAGACACAGGTGCAAACAATGAGTGCTGATGAGTCTGGGCAAAGGATTATGGGAAATGAAGTCCAACACTGAGTGACAGAGGTATGGGATGGAGTGCCCTCTGGTGGTTATCAAGGGCACCCCAGCTGGTGATCGTGATACTCTAACTGTAATCATACTTTTATTATGTAATCATACTAAACGATTTTTTTAAGTGATGCTCTCTAGAATGCTATTAATGATTCCTTTTATTTAATTACCAGGCAAATGATTCTGTGCTACCTGTCACAGGCCCTTGATATCTGCTTGTGGACATATATTGCATGTGCAAATGGTGGAATTCATTTAGACATTCTGAACTCTATTGATCTCTGTACTCCATTGAACACATTCAACAATGACCTGCATGCAAAATCAATGTGCTTCAAATGTGTGCTCACAATTCATTTAATTTTATATTTGAACAGATTTGTTACGTGACAGCATTAATTAAAGTTTCTTAAGGGTCAAGATCATTATCTGCATCTCCTGCGCTCCATCAAGCAACTTGATAGCTTAATAGCTGTCAGCACTCAAATTAATGCTATATTATCTGTATAGCATGTGTGTAAGACTCCAATACAATTATGAAGTGATTATTTTATGATGAATAAATCTTTCAGTGAGTAAAACTGGCTGTGTCTATAGTATTGAAGACTACACAACATTATCATATTATCTTTAAATTAATTTTTAAATGATTATTATTTTAAATTATTGACCCTGGATTAGTAGGGTACTCTTGTAATAAAGTCGCAGTGGTAGCGGAGAGATTTAAAGTATCAATTCTGCTTAAAAAGATGCCATCTAATCCTGTTTACATGAAATAAGCCTGTTCCCGAGCAGGTTTAAGTTTACGGACCTGTTGCTATGACAGCAACTCCGGGATAAGCTTCGAAGAACCAAACAATCCAAGATCACGCCAAATCATCAGCAATCAAATCCAGCTAACTGAGTTAATGACGTACGAAGAACGGGCCCCAGAACCAGGATAAAAGTCTAGAACTGACGCATACAAGACTTGAACCAGGCTTATAGGGTGAGCAGGCAGGGTTAAGGAGACACAGGTGCAAACAATGAGTGCTGATGAGTCTGGGCAAAGGATTATGGGAAATGAAGTCCAACACTGAGTGACAGAGGTATGGGATGGAGTGCCCTCTGGTGGTTATCAAGGGCACCCCAGCTGGTGATCGTGATACTCTAACTGTAATCATACTTTTATTATGTAATCATACTAAACGATTTTTTTAAGTGATGCTCTCTAGAATGCTATTAATGATTCCTTTTATTTAATTACCAGGCAAATGATTCTGTGCTACCTGTCACAGGCCCTTGATATCTGCTTGTGGACATATATTGCATGTGCAAATGGTGGAATTCATTTAGACATTCTGAACTCTATTGATCTCTGTACTCCATTGAACACATTCAACAATGACCTGCATGCAAAATCAATGTGCTTCAAATGTGTGCTCACACAAAAACTGTGGTTAACACATCTGCTATTCTTGGTTTAGATACTGTCTGATAGTTACACCTAATAATAAACAACACTGACAAATCATACACAAGACTGCCATTTATTAAGACATTACGCAAGACAAATATACATTCAGAATCATTAGCCAGCAAAATCATGTAGACATGATGAGCCTTTGGTGGTTCTCATGAGAGCCCATGTGTGTCCTGTCTTTTTTAAATTAAAATCCAGTTCGTTTTATCATTAGAGTGACACCCTTATGCCCTGACCTCATTAAAGTTCATGAAAAAGCCCTTTGAACCAGCAGAAACTTGACCACATATAATGCAGCATTTACTTTTGGCCCACTTCCCTCAGACAGACTTGCTTTTTCTCCCTTCGTAGTAAAAAATGTAGACACCTCTAGCTATACACAGTTCAAGCATAATAATTAGCTGAGCTTGTGCTGAGTTGAATGAATGAGATCATTTGTTTAAACAGTTTCATTTAGTCTACTTGTTCGCTTCTTTTCTTTTCAAAGATGCTGTCATCAAGCATTTTTAAGAGAGTTCATTAGGCAAGTGTCATCTTGTATGCTGCTAAAATGTGGTCATGGCATCTTTCTCACCACATTGTATACAGAGGGTCCACTTTTTTGCAGGTTATTGCTTGTTGGAAATGAATCATTCATAGACCACAGAAGAAAAAAAAAGGATTCTGGAATTGATCCATCTTCCTTAGATCTCCATGATCTCCTAGATGGATCCATTTCACTTATGCTCCCTCATTCTAATTCCACTCTAGAAGTTTCCAAACTACTCATCTCAGCCTTGATCTTTTACTTTCTTCATATGTGCTTGTTTCCCTGTGTTGTTGAAAGCATGATGGCCCAGAACTCTGTCTGTCTGTTGTTTCCTCTGGCGGCGTGTCCACCTACTTGTGGCACTGATACTTTCACTCCCTACTTCCCACAAGATTTTGATTGGCTGCTAACTCATTAAAAACGGCTTGTTTTGAAGTAATTTAGCACACACCCATGTCTTAGGTAAACAGACAGAATGGTGTTTTTCCTATACATAATATGACCAAATGAACACACAATATGCAGTCTGATGCCAGATCAAGGCTTGAATGGCCAGTGAGTCAGCGTGTCTATAAAGCAGGTCACATATCAATTCTTCTTTTAGAGTTTGTATCTGGTGCTCATGATTGTTGGTTGTACCTCTGCCAACAGTCAAAGACCTGACAGCAGTCGTGCAACATCAACTCGTCCCTATAGTGCTCCTTTCTGAAAGTTTAAAGCCACCAAAACTGAAACACTTTCACTCTTTCTAGTTCTGTTTTGGTTTTGTGCACATTTTCCAATATGTGATGTTTTTGTCTGTTAGGCTACATGAATGCAATAAATGAAATACTTTTGTAATCTTTAAAATGTCTGTAGTTTAAACTGAAATGTTTAAAAAATTTTACGATACAATCAGATCACTTTTTGAAATGGTCTGTTAAAATGACTATATTCAGCCAGTAGCTAAAAATAGCTTCCAATGTTTAAACTTCAAAGTTCAGTATCATAAGTGCTACATCAAACACTAACGTAGTTGACTTACAAATTTGCCTTCTTACAAAAGAAATGTGTTCATGTAATGTACATGAATTATCTTGATCACGTTCCTAATAAACTTTTTATGCACACACACACAGACATATACATACAAACTCAGTATATATAAACATGAGCGATGTGGCCTAAAAATGTGAAATGAAAGAATTCACACAGTCAATTTTATTTAACGCAATATAATTTATACCAGATCTTGGAGTCTTAAAGGCCTGAATAATTTACATTGATGTACATTTAATTTCGACAGGCTGATGAAAAACATGAACTGCATCTGAAGATAATGCTGGTTCAATTATTCTTGCCCATACAGCTCCAACATTAAAAAAAACTCATGAAAAGTCATAAAAGGAAAAAAAAAAGAAAGAAAAAAATTTAAGAACTCACAAAATAAATTTCGGTTTATTGTAGCACAACAAATTTCACACATACATCAAACAGGCCACAAATAGATAGCAATTTCATAGACAAGAAAGAAAAGAAAAGAAAAATCTTTTCTTTTGGCCTTGTCCTCTCATACAATCCAACTACGTATTATACAACTGATGTACATACACAAAGTTACTGGAATGCTTTGAATTTATGTTTTTCTGCAATTTTTCATTTCTTTTTTGATTAGTTTTTTTTTTACAAGTTTCCTTTGAGATAACATGACATGGTCCAACCACAAGTAAAATCTATTTCATAGAGAAGCATAAACTTCAAAGCACCGTTTGGTAACCAGAGATCACTGTCAAAAATGGCTGACCTCCTAACAATATGTACAAAAATATAAAATGTAAATAAAAATACAAACAAATTTTTCCTTTTAAAGTATTTTGTAAGAAGGTAGAGCTTTGAAGTCTTGGTTGTTTCTACAAAATCTGCAGTTAGGTGTGTGCACACGGATGGTGGACTCTACTTGATGATGACCATGTTTTTCCTCCCCCAGTGGACAAGGAGGGATGAGAAGACTTCCAACAAAGTAGCTTCTTACACATCAGTCTTTTGCTTCTTGGTTTCAACATCATCCTAAAAAATGTGGCCAAGCAGAGTTAAAACACTGCAGTTCATAAAGTCAGATTATACACGCATCTAAGGATTCCACTGATATAGTGGAAATTACCTCATCATCATCATCATCATCATCCTCAGCTGCTCGTTTTGCTGTGCCACCCTCAGCCTCATCATCTTCATCATCATTATCACCTATAATATAGTTATTAATTCTTAGTAATGCATCTTTGTTTATATGCCTTAGTCATACCTGTCAACATTCGGGTACCAAAATATGGGCGGAGGGGCAATTATATTCATTTAGTAACATAAATATATCTTAGTGTAGGCTATATCTTTAGAGTTTTATAATTCATTATCTTCTTGTCGATCCACCAGTTCACTCATTGAAAGATGCAAATTCATTCTCTAGCAGCAAGTGGCGCCTTTCGTCAGGAATATAGCCGTTTCCCCCGTAACCGCAGTAAACAAAGCAGCGCAGCACCTGACTTTGAAACTTGCAGAATCAATTAAATAGCCTTTTGAAGTGTAAGCTACAGTATATCTCATTATACATGTAAATATGCATTTACATGTATATTTAGTTTTTTTTCACTGGAGCGCCACCTGAGTCTTCTCCTCCCATTTCTACCAGTGATCACTGTTTCCTTCCCGCAGTACTACCTGCGCACACATCAATAGCATCACTGTTGTAGGCTTCCAAGTTGAGGGGACAAATGGGTTGGAATGTGTATGCGTCGATCGTGTGAGAAAGATGCGTTTCATACAAGATCTGGCAACTGGACAGCCTTGGAATTTGTTGCCGTGATTATTCATATGATGAGGTTTCGCCCATCCAAAAAAAACGGGAGTTTTACCGGAAGCGAATGTAGCAAACATATAAAATAGCCTACGCCCAGTGGGATTTTTTTTTTTTAGATATACAAAGATTAAAAATACAGGAGAAATACGGGAAAATATTTAGACAGGATGATAGTGGGATAGAACGGTAAAATACGGGAGAATCCCAGGAAAAACGGGAGGGTTGACAGGTATGGCCTTGGTTGTCCACACATAGGTGGAGCTAGAGCAGGATGTTTTTTTAAATCATTCTCACCATTCAATTAGTTTACTTAAGGCCTTACCTTCTCCATCATCTTCCTCGTCTTCTTCAGCCACATCATCATCTTCCTCATCTACTTCATTTTCTGGATCACCATTCTCCTCACTTTCCTAAAAAAAAAAACATTATGAGTTATCATGGGTAATACCTGAGGTCATTTGGAAACTATTAGAGCAGTACTGGACAATGAAAAAATAAAGTTGTGGAAACTTACTGTATTTCCGTTAGCAGGGGCATCCTTTCCATTTTCTGCCTCCTCAACCTGTTTCTTTTCTTTAAGGTCCTAAATGAAGAAAAGAAAAACGGCTCTGTAATTGCTTCAGTTACTTATGGTGTAGTAAATGAAACTAGACCAATGCTGAATTCACATCCTCTCTTATTTGTGGAACTTGCTTTTCATTATTGAATGAAAATAATTTCACATTTGAAACGCGACACTTCCACACTCTTTATTCATTGGATGTCTGTCTCTTCCATCCCCGCCTGGTTTAAAGACCATATTGAGGTGTTGTAATTTGATACGTCCATGGCGTTACCGCCAATGCGCGCTGTAGTTCAGTTAATAATCCACATCACTGCGCTTGATAAAGACACGCCCGCTAAAAAACTACAACTCCCAGCTCACAATTAGTGACGCGCGAACTCGACCAAAGAGAGGCTGGACCGACAAACCTCGGAGAGAGAGAGAGAGAGAGAGAGAGAGAGAGAGAGAGAGAGAGAGAGAGAACAATAGCGTTGTGCTATTAGGCCTTTAACAATTTTTTTTCAAACACTATACTGTTGTTCCCTCGAGAATTACTATTATTCTTAAGAGAAGCCGTTTTATTTATCAAATTATTGCATCTTTGTCTAAAAACGCAGACTTTTCATCGCTCTGAATACCACAGGATGTGCTTCCATTCAGCAGCTCGCTCGGTATTAAGAAATGTAGGTCATAATCCTCAGTTTTTAAGCCGGTTAGCGTCTACATCACGCCTGCAACGCCTTCTCACACCGTCACCATTTACATGCCGCTCTGTACAACCGCTGAGCGTCAGTGAGCCGTAGATGAATGCTGAACATATCGAACTTACAGGATAGTACTGACCCATATACTGATCAAACAAACAGCGTGGGCAGAAACCTTTTAGCTGAAACGGAAATCGTCTCCGTATTTCATAGGCAAACTTAAAGAGACGTAACGTTATGCTTATCAAGACCTGAACGCTGCAAAAAAAAGCTTAACAAAGAACAAACGGGTCAGAAATGTTGTGCCCACAACTGGTAACGCTAGGCGAGTCCAGTGATCTTTATATGATAGAGAGACTGAGCACTGAGCTTGGTAAGTCCGGTGGAAAACGATCGTTTGGGTTGATGCGCTGAACGGGGCCGTTCACACAGTACGAGCTCTTGCGCTCGAAAGCAGCTCACGTTAGACGGAGCGCAACGGAACGGAGCAGAACGTGGGGCTCTCGAGACGCGCTTTTAAAAGTTAAACGGAGCCACTGCGTCTTAAAAACGCGGCGCCCGTGCACAAAACGGTAGAATAACAACGAAACGTGTCGCAACGCTCAAATACGTCGGTCTGGAATAGGTTTATATATATATAGATATATAAATAAAAAAATCGATAGCTGGACGTGAGAAAGCATCCTGTACGGACGTCCCTTAACTTCGGTGTTCGCGCTCGCCTCCTGATCAGACCGCGCGCTACAATGGGAACTCGTCCAGTCATCCAGACTGCTGCATCCGCACTCCGCAGCGGGGTTTCGCGGGAGAAGTTTACGCACAAACTGACCTCGCCGCTGATATAAACCGCCTTCCGTGGAATAAGAGAAGAGACCTCTTTTCTTTCATTTAAGAAATTATCAGCCATCCCGACAGTATAACGTTACCGGACAGGTAGACTATAGCCCTGTAAAGCTCATATCTTAAGTAGTTTAATCAATAATGTATGATGAACTCTCATTTTCACTACGAAAAAGTGAACTATAACCTGAACTTGACAGAACTGAAAAGACAACGCGACCTAACGCTCCCGGTAAATAAACCGTGACTGTTAAATGCGAGGCAGGTTGGCTCTGAGGTTCACAATGTATTCCTAAAATTATATTATACCTTCATTACGCTTGAAATACTGGTCAAACATAAAGTAGCCACATTTCAAAGATAAGGGAAACGTGCTTTATTCAGAGAGGCACCATGAGTCGTGAGGGCTGCAGTAACTTGTGACAGATCGGGCTGCGGGCGTCTCGCGGACTGTACGAGGCACCTCCAATAATTCAGTCTATACGAAGTCATAAAGAAACTCGTGCAACAAACCATAGAAGCAGAGTAGAGCTCATGCTCGCGATCCTCTGCGTCCATCTCTCTCACTGCACTTTTAAAGAGGAACCGAAAAGCCGCCTACATAAACAAAGAACCCGCACAAAAAGCCTTTTATTTGCAAACGTCTCCGTAAAGAAGCCCAACTTCAGCAGAGAGGCAATACAGACACACCAGAGAGAGAGAGAGAGAGAGAGAGAGAGAGAGAGAGAGAGAGAGAACAATAGCGTTGTGCTATTAGGCCTTTAACAATTTTTTTTCAAACACTATACTGTTGTTCCCTCGAGAATTACTATTATTCTTAAGAGAAGCCGTTTTATTTATCAAATTATTGCATCTTTGTCTAAAAACGCAGACTTTTCATCGCTCTGAATACCACAGGATGTGCTTCCATTCAGCAGCTCGCTCGGTATTAAGAAATGTAGGTCATAATCCTCAGTTTTTAAGCCGGTTAGCGTCTACATCACGCCTGCAACGCCTTCTCACACCGTCACCATTTACATGCCGCTCTGTACAACCGCTGAGCGTCAGTGAGCCGTAGATGAATGCTGAACATATCGAACTTACAGGATAGTACTGACCCATATACTGATCAAACAAACAGCGTGGGCAGAAACCTTTTAGCTGAAACGGAAATCGTCTCCGTATTTCATAGGCAAACTTAAAGAGACGTAACGTTATGCTTATCAAGACCTGAACGCTGCAAAAAAAAGCTTAACAAAGAACAAACGGGTCAGAAATGTTGTGCCCACAACTGGTAACGCTAGGCGAGTCCAGTGATCTTTATATGATAGAGAGACTGAGCACTGAGCTTGGTAAGTCCGGTGGAAAACGATCGTTTGGGTTGATGCGCTGAACGGGGCCGTTCACACAGTACGAGCTCTTGCGCTCGAAAGCAGCTCACGTTAGACGGAGCGCAACGGAACGGAGCAGAACGTGGGGCTCTCGAGACGCGCTTTTAAAAGTTAAACGGAGCCACTGCGTCTTAAAAACGCGGCGCCCGTGCACAAAACGGTAGAATAACAACGAAACGTGTCGCAACGCTCAAATACGTCGGTCTGGAATAGGTTTATATATATATAGATATATAAATAAAAAAATCGATAGCTGGACGTGAGAAAGCATCCTGTACGGACGTCCCTTAACTTCGGTGTTCGCGCTCGCCTCCTGATCAGACCGCGCGCTACAATGGGAACTCGTCCAGTCATCCAGACTGCTGCATCCGCACTCCGCAGCGGGGTTTCGCGGGAGAAGTTTACGCACAAACTGACCTCGCCGCTGATATAAACCGCCTTCCGTGGAATAAGAGAAGAGACCTCTTTTCTTTCATTTAAGAAATTATCAGCCATCCCGACAGTATAACGTTACCGGACAGGTAGACTATAGCCCTGTAAAGCTCATATCTTAAGTAGTTTAATCAATAATGTATGATGAACTCTCATTTTCACTACGAAAAAGTGAACTATAACCTGAACTTGACAGAACTGAAAAGACAACGCGACCTAACGCTCCCGGTAAATAAACCGTGACTGTTAAATGCGAGGCAGGTTGGCTCTGAGGTTCACAATGTATTCCTAAAATTATATTATACCTTCATTACGCTTGAAATACTGGTCAAACATAAAGTAGCCACATTTCAAAGATAAGGGAAACGTGCTTTATTCAGAGAGGCACCATGAGTCGTGAGGGCTGCAGTAACTTGTGACAGATCGGGCTGCGGGCGTCTCGCGGACTGTACGAGGCACCTCCAATAATTCAGTCTATACGAAGTCATAAAGAAACTCGTGCAACAAACCATAGAAGCAGAGTAGAGCTCATGCTCGCGATCCTCTGCGTCCATCTCTCTCACTGCACTTATAAAGAGGAACCGAAAAGCCGCCTACATAAACAAAGAACCCGCACAAAAAGCCTTTTATTTGCAAACGTCTCCGTAAAGAAGCCCAACTTCAGCACACCGAACATTTCGCCATCCACGAAAAGTCTTCAAAGTGACAGTGAGAGGTAAAAACACAGTCAAAATGTGCGAACGGTGTTCCAATAACGCTGTATACTTATTTCCATGCCAAACTCCATATTTCATATTGCTCGTTTATTCAAATTAATAAAAACGCAGCATCTACAAATCGGTGTTTAACGTTAACTGAAGTTGCATTACCTTGGCGGAGACTTCCGAGCTGGTATCGACTTTTGTGTCAGCCATTTTTCCTGAATGTTAAGAATATAATGGGGTCTCGGAACAAAATAATACAAAGAGAAATACGAGATGTATATAGTTTTTAAAAAAAAAACAGACTATTAAGCGTCTGTAGCGAGCTCACGCGGCGGCAGCAGAGCAGTTAATATAGAAGACTGGGCGGAGCTTTAAGGCGGGCGGTTTTCAGTGATTGGTCAGTGTGGCAAAAACTCCGCTCCTCTGATTGGTCAAGATGGAACAATAAGACAGTAGTTCTACAAAGTCAGACTCCGCCTCCAAACCAACCTCTGATTCATTTATGTGTGGAATAACGGTCGATCCATACTATCCTGCTCAACCTCCCCTGGGCTCATCATCCTTTCCTTCAAAAAAACTAAACCTGCGTACGTAAAACATTAGCCCTGCCCTGAAATCTATAATGGGTCCAAAGCATCTCAAACATTTATTTTTACTCACTGAAAGCCAAAAAAGGCCGGATTTTTTCATATTTTTACATTACATGTTTTTCCATATGGTGATACTTATGTGTTTCACGTGTCATCACCTCATCATAAATAATCTTTTGTCAATTTCTCCTAAAGGTGTGTCGTGTAAACTATCCAGCGTGTAAGTATTGCTCATTTATTTTAGGTGGCGCGTAAACTTCTGCTCTATTTGCAAGAAAGGTCACGCTCAACGAAAATAATATTGCGGCAGTTAGTGGACGCCCCTGGTGAAACCTGCTCAACGTTTGATTGACAGTTCTTAAACTCCGCCCTTTACCGATGTTTCCATATATAAAATAGCACCCTGAGAGATTTATTCAAACCGTCTTTTAGACATTATATAGGAACGAAGAACGAAAACTAATTTGCAGTCAGTTCTAGTAATTAGAGTAAGACAAAAATTCACAGTCGCGATTTTTTTAAGATGCTTAAACGAGATTGTTCTCATTCGCAAACACGGTTGATTTGGCGGGCTAGTGAAGGATAACCGATATGCTCAGCAAACGAAGCGTTTTATAAACATTACTAGTCACGTTTTGATATTTCATGCGATTTAAAATCTGCACGCTGCGGGGAAAATATAATGGTGCATCTCTTTCCCTCACCATCATGGCCGATTGAAATACCGTATGGCGTCTTTAAGTCTTCTTATTGGCTGATTGGGCCGAACGAACACAGACTTGACGCTTTGCGAGCGCTGATTGGATGTTGCCAACGTCAATCAATTGAAGGCCCTCGTTTAAAGCGCTAAACAAAACATGGAACTGGAGTGTACCCTCTTATCCCTTTTATTTCTCCCATTCCCTGTCAAGGACACACATAAACGTGTTAGCAAATACACTTTTAGGATTGGATTTCACACAGGTTTATGTGGGGTAATTACAAGCAGGTTATTCATTGTCAAATTTGTGATCATTTAGCAGACGCTTTTATGTAAAGTGTCTTGCAAATGAGAAACATCACAAGCCAGTTATCCTATGAGCGAACATTAGTCCCAGTACCGCAATGCCAAGTTTAAAGAGGGCAAGCTATAGTAGTAGCCTACAGAAGTTAGTGAAAAAGTAAAAATGTAGAAAAGAGAAAATAGGTTTCGTTTTGAACTTTAAAGTTTTTTTATAGAAGTATAATATTTTCATCTTCAATCACATTATTTATTTGTCTGTTTATTTCCCATGATCATTTATTATGTATTATTTTGGAAATGCAACTTTAGGTCAAAGTTATAATGTTAATCTCAGCGTTCTTGTCAGTATACTGCATGTCTATCTTCTATCCAAATCCATTTACATTAACTGCAGTAATTGCATATGGATCAAACTGAAGTTAAGTGCCTCGCTCAAGGGCAAAATGATGATAGAGCAGAACTGTAATCTCACTAAAACACCAGTTCCTCAGTCACTGCTGCTTGGAATGAAACCTTCAACCTTTGTGTTAGCAGCCCATACGCTTAACCATCAGAAGAGCACCAAATGACATGCATCCATAATCTGTCTCATGCATTCATAATCTGTCATTACAGAAAACACAAATGTTAGCTATTGTCTACTTATTCAGAGATTGATTGAATGAATGGATGTTTGATGGTGTCAAATTACATCCATCAATCGATTCTAGGTAATCTGGGAAGATGCTGCACAAGTTTATAGCCCAGAGACTGTGGCTCACAGCAGGAATATGTCTCATAAAAACACTGAGACACATTTAAATGTATTATTGTACAAATAGAATATAGAATAGTTTTGCAACCATAGTAGTACTGCTATGCTTATATGAAAAACTCCTCTCCTTCTATTTAAAAATTACTATAGATACTACAGAGAAATTTCAGCTCAGTTTTGACTAAATGATTAACCTACTTATTAGTCTAGTAGTATTACCAATTTGAGATTTAGCAAAATAAATAAATACACAAATAAAAAAATGTAATAAACAAGAGTTACAGGATATAAATTAATATGTCAATCAGCATCATAAATATCATTTTTATTTAGCAATTAGAAGTTTATTTGCCCTTTTTGTCTGACTCGAGATCATATTTTAACAGTAGCATTCTTGACAGTAAGTTCTACCTCTTGTGTTATACTAAACAAACTCAAATATGTTTATTATTATTCATTATTATTATTATTATTATTACATTTTATTATTATTATTATTTTACTTTTTCAAAACATTTGTAGTAAAACATCTGCAGTAAAATTGTGGAATTTTGTGTGGTCTTTATCAAAGAATGTCTGACTAACAATGGAAATAGTTTATTTATTTATTTATCTGATTACAGATTACAGATTTATTTATAGTTCAGTTACACACCATTAAACACACAAACTATTTATGAAATCCAGTGCATTTTGCATCTGTCAAAAGTCTCATCAGTATGAAGATCTGTGAAATGTTTGAGACCAGCCCCTGGAGCAGTGAAACGATCCTCCACTCCGTCTCCCCTTCTCACGTTCTCTCTGTCTCTCTCTAGATCATTCTCCATAAACTCTGCTATAAAGCTGCTCCTCGACAAACAGTGAGAGGGCTTTCTCAGTGATCTCTGGCATCTAAATGGAGTCTTTTCCTGTCTGCAACAATAATAACCAATCTGGAAATCCCCCTGCTTTGCTGCCGTCTGGTATGGCTGCTCACGTGATCTTGCACAGTCCCAGGGGCCCAGAGCCCAATACTTGTCCTGGTCTCTTGGATGGTCCTGTTTACTTACACAATCTTATTACTGTTAAGAATTCACTAATGGCCTTGAGACTGAAACATGGATACCCACTGTGTAATGTATAATTACAATGCTGGTCATCTAGCAGCACAAATATATGTGGGAGAGTAATTGGATTAGTATCAGTATCATGGATGACTAGATGATACTTTTGAAAATTCTTATATCATATTTATATTAATTATTTAAAATTAAATTAATCTTAAAATCACTATTTAAAAAAGAGTCATGCAGGTTTGAAACAACATAAGAGTGAGTAAATGTAGACGGAATTTTCATTTTGGAGTGCACTGTCCCTACATTTTACATTATTGTAAATTTTACATTATTTCACTTGATGCCTAATGTTGTGATCATATGTAAACTGTAAACTGTAAACTTTGAATATATAAGCAAAGCTTCCTCAAACCCATGTGGACAGCAAAAAGCTTTCGAAGGGAAGAGTTCATTTGATCTGGGATTCTTCCTTGTTTCTCGTCCTGATGTATAGGGGCAGGACTGCAGACGCATAGCAAGCAGCATTTTCCCCTCTCTCATTTTTTTTCATTTTTATAGCCTTCACTTGTCCTGCAGCAGCTGGTTCCACAGTTTTCCCACAGCTGGGATGACGCATGAGGCCAGTGCTTTAATTCAGAGCAGCCACACACTAGGTGTTCTCACGCTCACCTCTCCTTTTCCTCCTTATCTTCATTACAAAAATATCCTGACACATCTGCCCATCTCCCGAGAACGTTTGGAAACCAAACCTTGCAGATCTATATTTTATTTATTTTAATTTTTTTTTACAAACACGTGGAAGGATGACTAAAATGGAGATGAGAACGACATGACATTATCCCACTCCTTGTCTCTGGGTGGCTCAGCATCGCAAAGGCACAAATTAGGAAATCTGTCCAAGAGACTACAGTCGATGAGGCAGAAATCAATGCAGCTGGTGCATGCAGCATGTGACCCTGTGACCCTGAGCTCTGTGGTGTGTCTCTGTGTGTTTTACGTGTAATTGAGCATGTTAAAGGCTTATTCCAGCAGTTTATTCATGATATTACATGCTTGAAGGAAATTTTCAAAAATGAAAATTTGCTCAACATTTATTCAGGTCATCCAATATGTAAATGAGTTTGTTTCTTCATCAGAACAGGTTCAGAGAAATTGAGCATTATATCACTTGCTCACTAATGGATCCTCTGCAGTGAATGGGTGCCGTCAGAATAAGAGTTCAAACAGCTGATAAAAACACAAAAATAACAATAATCCACAAGTAATCCACACAACTCCAGTATATCAATTAATGTCTTCTGAAGAGAAAAGATGCGTGTTTGTAAGAAACAAATCCATCATTAAGGCGTTTTAACGAATGGATAGGGGACTCACATTTTAGCCAGAAGCAACTGTTTGATGCATGTTTATTACAAAATGCATTTTTTTCACTTTACAAGACATTCATTGATGTACTGGAGTCATGTGGATTACTTATTGTGATGTTTTATCAGCTGTTTGGACTCTCATTCTGACGGCACCCATTCACTGCAGAGGATCCATTGGTGAGCACGTGATGTAATGCTACATTTCTCCAAACCTGTTCTGATGAAGAAACAAACTCATCTACATTTTTTTGTAAAATATTCCTTTAATGTATGTTTTGACAAGCTGGATTTTTAAACTAATCATGATTTATTTTAATGAACACCTTTTACCTAACATGTATTCCAAGCCAAAAGTATTATCACTACAACGCAGGTAATTGGGTTATGAGCATCAGTGGTTTTTGTTTACAATCTGATGGCAGTTATGAGATGAATCTTTATTGGCCGAGCTTTGGTAAATGTGAGCCTCACTTCCTTCCTTTCTGATGCTTTGCATGACTGCAAAACAGCAACAGTAGGCCTGTCATTTGCTGGCA